GGCAGGGGTCTGCAGGAGCCAGCGGAAGGTGGAGGCACACGTGCGGGTTTGCCACGCGCCGGGGGCTGGCACGGGGAGGAGGCGGGCCGTAGACAGCCTCTCCCAGGGCCTGGTGCAAGCAAGGCCTGGGCTCAGCCGCGCTGGGGCCGTCGGGAGGGGTCTGGGTGACCGGCGGGGGCCGCTTCCTCCCTGTGAGGCGGGGTTGACCCACGTTCTGTGAGAAGTCCGGTGTGCGTGCCCCGCCTTGTGGAAGAGGCTCGTGACATCCCGCCAAGCTGGCCGTCAGCTGGCGGTGACCCGAGTCCCAGCTTTTTGTCATCGGACGTCAGTCCCGATCTAGCCGAGGGAGCAGGGGGGCGAGATGGAGACGGGAAAGGGCGGGCGGGGCCCCCCGCGTCCGTGCCCAGCGCAGGCCACGCGCACGCGCTCATTTGGTCCCCTCCCAAGCGGAGCCCCGGGGGCTCGTCATGATGCACCAGGCGGCGTCCAGGACGCCAGCCACCGGCCACGGCCCCTCGGGAGGACGCTGCAGCCGACCCAGGGGCCTCCGGCTCGCCCTCCGCAGGTCCGGGGACGGTCACTCGTCTGCCGTGCTGGTGCCGGAGCCTCTAGGTCGTGGGGAGCACACTTTGGATGGGGGCCGCACGTACGTGGCTTCTGGGGTGCTCGCACGCCACCGAGGTCAGCGGAACCCGGGCTCCTTGGGCGGCCCAGCCTAGCAGCACCCGGGGTTCTCGACGATCCCCACATACTGGCCCTGCGCTGGCTTCTGCGCCCACGTTGTCTTGGGGGCCCCCAGAGGGAGGTGCCCCTGTTGCCAGCAGTGGAGGGTGGGGCCGCCCCGTTTGCCCAGCTCCCAGGGGGCACTGCGGGAGCCCTGCTGGCCGGGCGGGAGGCGGGAGGCGGGAGGCGGGAGGCCTCTGGCAGAGGGAGGTGCCCCAGCGCCCACTCTGACCTTCGTCCTGTTTCGGTTTATGAGTGGTTTCCTCGCCCATTATCGCCTGTGGCCCGGCCACAGCCCTCTGACGGAGCTGGCGGCTGGTCCAAGGTCGGTGGCAGTGAGGAGGGTTCCCGAGCCCAGGACGCCCGCCTCCAGCTGTGACCGGGACGGGGCCCCGGCTGCTGCTGTGGGGGCGAGGGGCCTGGAGTCCTGGGCCGGGCTGGGCTGGCAGGAGGGGACGGGTCCCCCGCCTCCAACGAGACATGCTCCGTACTCAGGTGTCTTTGTCCTGACGCTGCTCCCCACCCTCTCACCCTGGGACCTGCAGAGCTGGGCACAGAGCCCCAGACCAGCCTGCTCACCCCTCCAGGGCGCCCTCTCTGTGGGTGTCAGCCAGCCTCGCTCCCAAGTCTCACCGGCCCAGGGGCCACTGCAAGCTCCCCCAGAGTCCCCGGGGTGGCCTCTCACTGGGTGTGGCCGGGCTGCTTCGATCCTGCCCTGAGCTGCTGGTCACCTCTTATCGGCCTCTATGGGATCGGGTGTGCTGCTGGGCAGGTCACAGGGAGGTCACCCGAAGGAGTTTGGGTGTGCCTGCCTGCGGGCCCTCCCGGGACACTTCCCGGATCCCCCCACCCGCCCCTACCCGCTAGGGACATGCAGCTTGACCCGCCCTGCTGGTGAGGCCAGTAAGGCCACTGTTTCTACGGAGGGGTCTGTTTCAATCCACCTTTTTACACCAGTTGTCTGTTTACACGCCTTCTCCCTGACTGGTTACTCATCCCAGCCCCCCGCACAGCGCCTGGCAGAGAAGGTGCTGGATAAATATTTGTTAACCGGCCCTGTGACTCTCCCTGCCCCCCACGCCCCCTCAGCACACACACTGACACCCATTGACACACACAGCAGCCACACACACGGCCACACGCGCACACGTCACAGTCACACACGTCACAGTCATACACACACGGCCACACGCACACACAGCCACACGCACACACGTCACAGTCACACACACACGGCCACACGTACACACAGCCACACGCACACACGTCACAGTCACAAATAAAAAGGCCCCTTTATCTATGGTGCTGGTTCAATACACAGTTCTCCCTCTACAGTCTAAGATTGATTTTCCTTTGATTGTCTCCTCGACACGTCACAGTCACACACACACGGCCACACGCACACACAGCCACACGCACACACGTCACAGTCATGCACGCACATCAGTCACACACACATCACAGTCATGCACACACATCAGTCACACACACGTCACAGTCACACACACACACGGCCACACGCACACACGTCACAGTCACGGACACACATCAGTCACACACACATCACAGTCACGCACACACATCAGTCGCACATCACAGCCACACGCACACACATCACAGCCACGGACACACAGCCACACACACACGACACACATCACAGTGGCATGCACGCACGACACATCGGTCACGCACACATCACACTCGCACATGTATCACACTCGCACACGCACACGCACGCGCACACACACAGCCCCTGCGGGTGACCCCCAGGTGCACCTGGCCTCAGCCCTCTATTTAAGTGGCTCCTCTCCCCCCGGGCCCAGCCGGCCCTGCTGGAAGCACCTCCTGGCCTCCCTCCCCCGGGCCCGCCCACCACCGGACCCGGTGCAGAACCGCAGGGCCCTGTGCACAATGAAAACCTGGGCCCTTGTGAAAGCTACGGAAGATTCCAGAGCATAAGCCAAGCCTGGGGCCCCTCTGAGCATGGTCCCCGGTCTGAGGGCACAGGCCATCGGCTCGCCCGCACCACCAGCCTGCTGCCTCTGGCCTCGGGCCTTTCAGAGCTGGCCGGACCCCCTGCCCCCAGGGGCACTGCCGCAGTCACAACACAGGAATAAGTTGCCAACTTTTAAAAATCAGGACAGTTCTCAGAGAACAAGCTGGACACGTGTTTTCTCTTCAGAAATGGGGGAATCTGGCAGTGCTGACGTGTCGGGAACCGAGGCAACCCCTTCCACCGGGAGGGCTGGAGCTGGGCCAGGGCCCTGGACTCTTCCTTGGGGGGCGACGGTGCCACGTCCACATCATTTTAGCCCAGGTCGGCGTAGGGCATTATAGGGCATCATCGCGCACGGAATATCAATGACGACCTCTGGGCAGGACCCAGAGGCCCGGAGGGGCCCGCTGCCCCGTGCACCAGCCCTGCCCATCCTTCTGCCCTTCATCCATCTCTTCGCAGGAAGATCAGCCCCGAGCCGGTCCCTTGACCATCTACATCGTAGAACAGCGTGCGCTCCAGCCGAGACAGCCCCGTTTTGTGGGCGAGCGAATGGGCTCCGAGAAGGAAGGCAACTCGCTCAAAGTCGCACGACGTGCGGCCTTATCAAGCACAACGAGGTGCCCCGCAGAGACGAGTCAGCACTGAGCAGCCGTCCGTCATTCTCTCGGTGAGGGCTCCTCCTTGCCTGTCTGCTGTGTGCCGGGCTCCACTCTGGGTGCGGGGGGCCCAGGAGGAAAGAGGACCCCGGGTTGCAGGGAGCCTCGGCCGGAGCCTAAGAAACCCCGAGGACGTCCACTCAGACCCCGTCTGTGGGGTCTCCTGGCCCTCGGTTCTCGGGCCGTGGGCTCAGACAGGGCAGGATACAGCTCAGCTGTTCAGAGCCAGTGAGCGGAGGAAGCGGGGAGTCCAGCCTTGGCTTCCCGACCGCTTTTCCTCAAACCGACAACAGACTCTCCCTGAAAGCCCAACACTGGACCCACGTGGGAGACCAGCCGGAGCCCGCCCGGCGAGTCCACCAGGGCTGCTTCTCAGGGAGGACGGGGGGTTCCGGATGCTGGTGGCGGGGGGTTCCACGGCCGGGTCCTCAGGGGCCGCCTCCGCCCTCCCGTCCTGCGCCCGCCTTCCCCTCCCCCTCCTGCTACGTGCCGGGCTGGGCTGGGACAGCAGCAGCAGTAATTAGCCCAGCTCAGCCACCCGTTACTGGAACCTTCCTGTCAACTCTGGAGCCGATCCAAGAAGCCACGCCCAGTGCCTCACATGACTCAGCCTCACCTGCCCACGCCACACCTGCCAGCCTCGGTGACCCAGGCCACCGCAACAGGGGGGGAAGTCCCAGCCTGCTCTAGTCTGCGCTCACCTACCTGGAGTGTGTGCAAGGCATGCTGGGACTCCGAGTCCTCACCTCGCAAGCCCGTTCTCTGGCTGGTCGGCAGCCAGAAGGGCGAGCTGCAGGCCGGGCAAAGGCTGGACACGAGAAACCGCGTGGAGATCATAGAAGCGTCCAGTCTGCCGCCCATCACGGACCCTGGTCTAGGTATGAATTAGGAGACGCTTTCTCAAGAACGAGTTGACATATTGTTTAAAAGCCTTAAAAAGCATCCGTACCTTTTTACACGGCAATTTAGTGTGTGAGAAATTTTCCCAAGGAAATTATTGGTCGGGGCACAAAGGTATCCTACAGGGGCACTGACCGTGTGGTCCTATAACCGCAGAGAAATGGTGGCCGCTTAGGGCCAATCGAAAGAACGTCAGCCCGATAGCAAAGATTCTCTTTGGATGGTGGGATCATGCAAGATTATTGTGTGTTTGTTTACGTGCCTGTCAGTAGTGCCTGGATTTTTTTTTTTTTTGCAATAAGCCTGCATTGCTCTTAAAACAAGAAAGAAGTAAAACTCTTTTTCTATTTTAAAAAATAAACATTAGTCATTCAAGACGAGCGAAACAGACAAGCGTCCGACGTGGGGGCCACATTAGCCGGAGTGTGACTGGCCTGCTCGTGACCCGGACAGCTACGCGTCCATCACGAATGACGATTCCCTGAGGAAA